TTGGATGTGATACACTGCAAAATATCAACAGGGGAAAAAAGCATACGAAACTGAATCTGTTCAAATCAGGATGAGAGTAATCTCACCCACCTGGTGGTAGTTGTGTGTTGCCTTGACTGTTTCATGCATAATTCCCTCATCTGTGTGCAGAGGGGGAGGAGGGATCTGAACCTGTGAGTCACTAAGTAGACTTCATTTTGCAAGTACAACTACAAACTCATTTTGTCTACTTAAGTTCATTTTGTAATCATTTTGTGATTATTAATATATTTTCACACATCGTTATCTGAAATGCCTAGTGTTATAATAAATGCAAACTCTGAAACATTTACAACTGCATACCCTAGCCAGAAAACTATACTGGGAGTAGCTATGTATGTATTGTGACATTTTAGGATTAGCCTCTAGATGAGAGAGTTACTTAATCAAATAATAAAGTTAATGGGCAAAAGGAGAGTTAAAGAAAAGAGCAATAACAGTGAGAAAATGCTTGGAAAATAGTTTTTCAAGTAAGATATTTTGTAGTTAAGTTTTCCCTCATTAAATGTTCCCGTCTGTAAAATGGGAATAGCAGGGTGCTCTGCCATACTTATACCCTGTGAAAATAAGTAATTCAAGGTGTATGAGGTTTTTTACACGCTACAGGTCTGGTGATCATGTAAGGATCATAAATAGAAGCAGTGCTGAGTGAGGAGCTAGCTAAATTCATCAAGTGAGTTACTGCTTAAAAATTTTTCTTGGAGTGTGACTTTGCTGATCCCGTGGTAGAAAGGATCTCTTTGCCTCCTTCTTAGTATTGTATGAGAATTCTTCTTCTTGTATTGCTTTAATGATTCCAAAAAAAGAATTTTAAAATAGAAAATCAGCTTACTTCTTCACAAAGGCTTTTAGCTCCTTCAGGGTATATAGGACCAGTAGGTGCAAGGTCTTAGAGATCCTCTGTTGAAACTAATTTATATAGTAAGTCTTTCCTCCTGAAAATTTGCATTTGTATTAGTTTTGAGTTGAACAAAGAGTGCAAGTCTATTAATATTATTAGTATAAGGCTTTAATTGTGCCCTCTTTCCCCCAATTCTTAAGTCTTAGCAAAGCTGTGTTTCCTTTTCAGGCGGTTATGACCTTCTTCTTTTGCAAATTAGTTTGTTTTTTATGATAACTTTAAGGTAAAAGTGAAACTTAAGTTTTTAATATTTTATAAATTGCTGTTGAAAGGATTCATTATTTAATTGGCACGAGGGGATATAGAAAGCAGTGTCTCAGATGAACTAACGTTTGAGAGCTGGGTAGTTCTTAAAGTAGGTTTGCAAAATCGCAGTAACGTGTAGTTGCCCAGACAGAAGAGCCTTCTGCCTTCTGCCTTGTGTTGAAAGTGCAGTGCTTAGGGCATAAACATATTTCACTTGTCCATCATAACAAAAATGTTTGAACACAGTAACAGGAAAGAAGTTTCAGAGGATTTTTAACAGTGTGTTTCAAATACCGATCTTAATTTTGTCAGACTCCACCTGGATG